AGAGTTTCAAGGGTCTACATTCTATGATCAAATATCGGGTGCCTGAGGGAAAAATGGATTTTAATATCACCCGAATGGGATGCATAAAAGCAGTGAGCTTTGAGGCTTCCTACAGTTGAGAACTCAAGTTCCAACGGAGAGGTCAAAATGAAGATATCTGTTTTCTTGGCTTCGTTTTGCTTTGTACTCGCTGTTGGCTTTTCAGTGGCGGTAACTGAGAATGACTTGGCCAACATGGCAGATGAATTTGAAGCAGAAAAACTTCCAGGGTAAGTTGAATAAAGAAAAATAACTATAAATGATGACTTAAGTAACAAAATAGAGTTTACAAAGGTGCCAAATATATGGAGTCCCTCCTGAGCAAGCATCGGAACTGAAAATAAGAGCCAGGCCCTCTCCATTTTCTCCTTGTCTCTCCATTTTCTCCTTTTCTTCTAATATGATTAAATTATGTCGCAGCAGCAATGGTTTCGTTTCACATTTTATGTTTTTAGTGAAGAATACGTGAAAGAGGGCGATGAAGACCTCGATGAGGAAGACTTAGAGGACAATGATATGGCAATCCCCAGAAGGTACGTTAAGGAAATGCTTAGATTTTTAGCTTTCCTCTTAGTTTAACTTTATCCTCTGTGTAACCTGGTCAATTTAGCTTATTTAATTTTTCGCTTTCCTGTTAGACATTTGAAAATGTTTGTTTTTTTATAATATGATTGAATTGTGTCCCAACAGCGGTGGTTTCGTTTTACATTTTATATGCTTTTAGTGAAGAATACGTGAAAGAGGGCGATGAAGGCTTTGATGAGGAAGACTTCGAGGGCAATGATATGGCAATCCACAGAAGGTACGTTGAGGAAAAGGGGACGTCGAAGAACCCCACCTACTTCTCGCAAACAGCAGGAAATTTAGTTTCCGGTGTTGTGGTCTGATCTTGTTATTGTTTGAGCAGGTCACCATACCAGCTGTAAAGCTGAACTGAGCCAGCCTGTCTAAATGTCACAAATAAGTACATGAGTAAATAGATATTTAAAGAACTAGTTGGTTTACGATGATCTTTGGCTCCTCTTTTTTCCTGCACTCAGAGAAAATGATATGGCGACCGAAGACGAAGAGTTTGAAGAAGGGGCATTCGATAATGACGAAGATGACGTAGGAGCAGTAGAAAAGTCAGCTGACCCACAACGCATTACACGCCGAATTAGACTGGTCAGACGCATTCGTCGTCGTAGACTTCGCCGCCTCCCTCGTATTCGTCGTAGATTTCGCCGCGTTCGTAGAATTCTTCGTGTTCGCCGCTTTCGCCGCCCTCGCCGCCTTCGCGGTTAACGAAGACCATATCAGTGATGGAATTAACAATGGATGGGTAAAGGTGAGTGGCAAAAAAAGATAAGAAATAAGACGTGCAACTCCTGATTGTTACACAAAGTCTCCTTCAGGTTCTTGAGAAAACATAGAGAAGAGTATGAAGAATATACATACTGATGATAGGCGGTAGATGGTTATGAGTGACCCTCATTATTACTTATGTTTGATTTTTCTCTTCCCTGGCAGGTCTTGATGAATACTCAGCTTGAAATGACATGTCAAACTTGAGACTATGATTTAACAACTTTCAATACTTCTAGAATTAAAACTTCTGTAACTAAAAAGACTCCTCGGCTTCCGTTTCAATATAATGGGAAAAAGTTGTGATTTGGATTTGCTTTAACATCACGTCAATAAAAATAAACCAAAGTTTGCGAAAAGAAGGCTTTTTGATCTTCTTTTTCAGTTTGATTTGCTTCTTGGAATCTCGTTAAGTGGCATTTAGAATTAAAACACCGTTTTCTTGACTCTCTGAGTGTAGTCGACAGCTGTTCTAAAATCACTTACAAGCTGCTCGTAAGAAAAATGACTGAGGCGTGGGGTGGGGTCACTTCCTAGAAAGAGGTTGATGGTGACGTGCCACTGGATGGGGTTGCATTTTCACGACTGGATTGATTATAATGGGGTTGCACTTTGAACAGAGTAACTAGAATACGGTCTCTCATTTTCGGAAGTTTGGGGATAAGAAAATTCTCGTAAGTAGGGATTTAAAAACGGGGTCCATAAGGAGGCGAAGCCACAGACATATTCGAAAAGGAAGAGTGATTCAGTGAGGGTAACAATAGTACCCCGAACTTTACCCAATTTTGACCCGAGTTGGTTGTTTGTTTTGAAGTATCTTGGCAGTTCGACATTCGCACTAGAGATTATTGAGTACATCATACCTAAAGAAAGATGACTGCCTCTTGAAACAAATTATTTTTTAAACAAAGATGTTTTTCGTCTTGTCAAGAGCGTGGGAAAAAATTGTGATTCCCCAAGAAGAATCGAACCTAGAACCTTCGGATTCCGCGCTCCTATGCTCTACCACTGAGCCACAGAGACTCTACGGCGAGCGAGGTCTATTACGAAGTTCATATGGCACGCGTCCTGCATACTGCTAGGATCAGCAATGTCGATAGCGTCATGTTTTAAATAGAAAAGAGAGATGGTAAGTTTTGAGCTCGGTGAAGAAATAGAGTAAGATGTTTTTTCGTCTTGTCACGAGCGTGGGACAAAGAAAAAGTTCTGAGTCCCCATTAGGAATTGAGTCCCAAACCTTCGGATTTTTTTTCCTTTGTCCCACGCTCGTGACAAGACGAAAAACATCTTTCTCTCTTTCTTTACCGAGCTCAAAACTTACCATCTCTCTTTTCTATTTACAAAAAACTTTTTGTCTACTAACTCCCAAAATATATTTTTTCTGTTCGCACCGTAATACCACAGAAGACGATAAACATCTCACAATAATTTCAGATGGCTCCTCACCGACGCGTGATTAAAAGCAAACTTTTCCTTGCAGAAATATCTGAATATGTGAGATAAACGCATCATGAAAACTTAGGGGGAAAGTTTTTCTTCGAAGAGAGAGCATCTGAATCAGTAGATCCGAAGAAATGTTTTTTCACTTCTTTCCAGGACACCACACCATATCTTTCCTTGGCTATAAATGTCTTTGACGAGGCAAGATATATTGTTGTTCTCGCTGTTCTGTTTATCCTTCTCAATCTCAACTGCAAATATTTCCCAAGGTCATCAAAGTATTTTTTAGATGAATATCAAGGATGTATTTCGAAGTAGTTAAGAAGTTTAAATTTATACTTCCGTTTGCTTGTATCTGTTCATTAAAGGACCTCAATTGACGTCAAATGTGGTTGAAGCAGAAAGGAGGCACATAACAAGTCGTGGGCAAATGTGACACCTACGTACAACTTTTTGACGTGATCTATGATCACTCAGTGAACAATCACTACTCCAGAGAAATGAATTTCCTTTCTTGATGTATATGTATATAGAGAGAAAAAATTACCACTGATGCTATTTATGCGACTGTATTGAAATATATTACAGATAAGAAACAATCAAAAGGCGCATAGGAGTCAATAACACCATATCGAAAAGAACAATTTGCAGTAAGAGGTTGTTGGTGAAATAAATTATTGATTACGTTAAATGATATCGTGTCGCTCGAGGCATGATAAACTATTACCTCCGCTCAAATGAATTCAAAATGTTTAAAAAAATTTTCTAATCGTCAAAACAACAACTTGAACAACCAAAACCCATTTTAATCTTCTATTTAGAAAAATAATTCAGGAAAACAGTTTAACCAAAGGGCATTTGTCTGCAATTGCATGCAAATGACGCTGTGGATTCCTTCCCTACGTGACAAGCCATATCAAACTGTAATCTGTTGACATAAATAAGTCCTGTATTAGTCTAATTGCTGCCATATTAAATGAGGTAACAATTCCAATATGTTGTCAGCATCCACTTGAAAAATCTTATTTGCAAAACAACTTAAAACCATGATTTAGGTGTCTGCGTCTGCTAAACTAAAAGTGTCGTTTCCAAATAGATGAACTAAATTTGATACGAAAACTCTTCAACAATTTATAAACAAAATCTGTTTCCTTTAAATTACGATATGAATCAAAACGATAACATAATTTCTCGGAGATCGTACACTTTTTGCGTTTCGTTGAAGCACCAAATATCAAAATGGAAGCTGATATTATCGGCGAATCTGTTTACGTAATTATTTACGTTTTAATTTTATTTGCAACAAACTTACGCAGAAAGAGAGCCATCCTGCCTGAATAAATATATTAGTTCACAATATGAATGACCTCATCACAATTATCAAATTTTGCAACATTTTCGCTGTAAGATAATGAGGCAGAAGTTCGCCAAAAGTTTATGAATATGTTAAAGCTAAAACTGAAGTAGTAGGTGTTATAATGAAGAATGAGATACTCAAAAGGGTCCACATTTTTCAAAGGGAAAATTAATAAAACGGGTGACAAGAAGATAGAAGTATCCACATAGATATTATTGAAAGACAGGCAGTACGCATGCAACTCAGCGAAATCCCCAATAGTTTATTGTTTTCTTCCCAGAATATATGAAAGAATCACCGATTAAAGTGTTTATTTTTATAAAAACAAGCAAGTTTATACGTAGCTGTATAGCAGTCTGAGTTATTTCTGACTCTTTTCTTTATCAAAGAAATATCAGCTATCAGAAAATACAAAGTGTTTTAACACGAGATTGCCAAGACAGCAGCGATCTGAGCAAACTTCATTGAGTGTAACTAAATTATCTCCTACACTCTACAGAATTTTGATATTGGATTATGAAAATGGTAAGTCTGTCTTTTCAACTGAGGTCATTTCGCAAAAACTTGAGATCACGATGTATATATAGCAACGTGTCTTTAAAACAGTACTGCAATTATTTTTAGAGTATGGTGGTTTTCAGTATTTAGACTGTTATCTCAATCAGGGTAAGAAACCCACGCTTTTGCCAGAGATTTGCGTCAAAGAAATGGTGTCCCCTTGAAATATTTAGCTAAAAGAACAATATTCTACCCACAACCTAACTCAGTTTGATGTCAGGCTGAAACATCTGAAAGGCAATTCGGACTAACTTTTTTCGTCATGATATCGGTAGAAGAAGCGCTCATCAAATGGTATAAAAGAGGCAGTTTTTCTCACTGTTTAAAAAAACGTTGCACACGGTAAGAAAGAACATCCAAAAAAGCTCCAAGAACTGCGCTCCTTGTAGAGTACAAGATGGTAAGTTATTGATATTTCCCTAAAATTTGATTCCTACACCCCAGTCCTATGTCCTGTTCATCTCTATAATCCCGAATCTCGTTTCCCGGCCCCATTTCTCTTAAAATCCCGAGTCCCGGTCTGAAGGTCGTTCTTCTGAAATAGTAGCTGCTCTGGGGTTTTCTCAAACCTATAGAACGTAAATTTTATAATAAAAAGAGGGGGTTCTGTGGTCGTTTAGGAGAAGCAGCACCTTGCAGATACCCGTACTGATAACTCTTATAACACCATAACAATTAGAGTATCGAGTGCTTACTTAGAGTTTGTGGTCTGTTTGTTAGTTACTATAAGCTGCAAGTTAGACATAGTTTTTCTGTTTATCGCTGAGTGACGATGGAAAGCCGATGAGTGAACTTGCTTTCTCATCTAGGAGTCAGTGAATTAATAGTAAAGATAATTTCACGGAAGAGATCACAGAAATTCAAATAGGAGCGAGCTTATAAGAATGGAGCTGAATATTAACCATCAACATTGTTCGCCCTCCTTGATTCATTGATAACTCAATACTGCCTCTCTTTTCCACCAGAAATTAAAGCTGCTGTTCTCATGTCTTGCTCTGCTGACCGTCAGCGTTCAATCCATGTCCTTAATTGCAGAGGCAAAGGTAAGATCGAGATCATTTTTAATTATTAATTCGAGGGCGAAGAGACGATTTTTGCGCAAGCACATATTGTCATATACGCACGTGCGTGCTTCCCAAATTGCAATGGTGTCCCAATTTTCTCCTTCCTTGAAGTAAAGCCTCCACCGGGGTACAAGTTGCTACAAACATATGAAGATGTCTTTAAGTATTTGTCTCGAAGTATAAATGATGCAAACGCTCGATTGATGTAAATCTCAAAACATACATTCCCACATCTTATGAAACTTCTCTCTTCTTAGAGTTCCGTGGCTAAATATTCTCTGGAGCTGTCAAGTGGTGGAAAAAGATTTGGCGAACAGATCGAAATTGACACTGCAAAGGGAACAGAGACCTTCCATGTACCAAAGACATCGCTAAATGAATCAGCAGGGGATATAGTCTACGATTTCAAAAGGGTGAATATCGATGTGATTTTCTGTTACAGTCGGGGCCCATTTTTTTCTGTTTATATTTTTTTCTGTGGAGGGGGGTTGGACATAAAGTTTTAACTTTTTCTCTGTTTGTTTTTCATGCAGCAAGTGACGATGGTTCGTTTGCTGGAAGAAAAGGCTTGTTATATGGCTGATTCAATCGATGAAACTCTCACACCTGCCGATTTAAAGGAAGCTTTAGAGATGGTGAGCGAAAGTTACTACCAAAGTGCAACACTGATCTTATCGTTTTCAATTTCAGGCTTACAAGATTTCCTTTGCGTCCTTTGAGTTCTTCTATAATTTGAGATCCTTGTTATGGCACGGTAGTCTCGTACCCAGACTTTCCATGGGAAGCGGTTGTTATAGTTACACGGTAGTATCTGGGTACGAGATTTGTGGCACGGTAATCCCTCCAACCTATGACTTCAATACCATTGCTAAGATTGCCTTAAGTTCTTAGGTCCAGTTATTTTAACAAAGTTAAGCCGTTGTTTAACAAAACCGCGTACTGGACAATCCTCAAGTTAGCTAGACCTTTCAACTGTTCATTCTTTTTTTTGTTAACAGTGACGAGAGGGCCGGAAAATAACCGTGGAAGGACAGTTATCTCATCAAATCAATGCTCTCATAGAGAATTAGAGCCTGGCCCCCACTGATTGCATAGAAACCGTGGTTTGGGTTAGACCTCGTGTAAATAACCGGCCCTTTGGCGTTTTTCTTTAAGGGGATTGTCAATCGAAACAAATTAAAAGTAACGAAAACAACTAATCGATCAGAACAAAATTTCAGATAGATCCCATAATAACTCAAAGTAAATTATTTTCATCTCTGTGTTCTACCATGTCATTTTTAGCAAACTCCTGGAGCGGGCGAAGAGTCAACAACTTCTTCAACTGAAACACAAATGACAGTTGTCGGAGAGCTTGAAGATCGCTCAGGGCTGAGTGCTGAAATGGCAGATCTGTGTGTGAATCTGCCAATCTATGTTATTACCGATGGCGCTATGAACCTCAATGACGAGGAAGCTGACGAGGAAACGGATGCGGATGATGATATGGAAGCTGATGCAGAATTTTATGAGGATGTTGATGAAGACACCAGCAATTCTCGTGAAATAATCGACTTGGACGACACTCCTGACACACGTAAGTCTTAAACAATCAACCGTGCTTAATACTTTTTACATCTTCAAGGCGATGAGTAGCCCAGGGGCACGTAGTGGGTTGGGTTGTAAGGCGAGGTGGATTTAAGCCCCCACCCCCTCTCTGGTAGACTTTTTTTGCCCAAGAACACAATAAAATAACCCCGCCAGGTCTGGAACCCACACCTCTCCACTTTCCTGCACACTAACCACAAGGCTACTGCGTCTTGCACACAATTTCAGAAGCTCCATATCCATAGGATATTTGTGTCTTTTGTTATTTTCACTGATGGCATTTTTCTTATTCTATCTACAAGGTGTAAAACGGGGTTTCTTCCGCAAGCGGAAAGGTAGTAAGCTACTGCGCAAGCTCAAGAAGAAGGCCTGTAAAAAAGTGTGTAAATGGGCCATAAAACGGATTTGCAGAAGAGTTCCTGACGGGTTCAACAAGTTGTGGCGAAAGTGCTTAAATCTCCGAAACAGAGGATGCAAGCGTGTTTGCAGATGGCTGATTGGATAAATTGGTCTATTTGCTATTTGTGTCAAAACAAGCGTTAAGAAGTGCTATACAATAGTTTAATGGACCAATGAGCTTGCTTATTCCGAGGCTTTTTTCAAATTTAATCATCACTTCCGGTTTGAATTTCCGTGAAATGAAGCATTTTAATTTGTACAGCTTTTTTCTTCATCCAACCTAATCCTCTCGAATAAAAGAAACGATTTAGCCGCTTCACTAACCCCTGACCCCCGCAAATGATTATCATGTAACTTCTCCCCAAATATCCTTACATTATCCAGCTAACAGGTAATGAGAATACTCAAACTTATCAGGTAGAAGTTGTCTTAAGATTCCATTGAGGCTTTTCGATTGTAAGGAAAGTTGTGAAGTAAATTAGAAATAAAATGTTTATTTAGCTTCAAAGTATAATCCTCACTTCACACCAGGCGGTAAGATTGTTTGAAAAGTAAGAGCGTGTAAGAGTGACCATGTAGGAGACTGGGCACGGCCTCCAAGAGCAAAGGCAACTCATTAGCCAAATTTCAGTGTATATATCCTCTATAAGACTCCGTCTGATTCTCGAGATGCCCCGAATCTCTCACCCAGTTTGGTTCTCACAAATGGGCCAACTAGTTCGCTAGCACATGATGTGGATGTAATGTAACGAAACTGAAAAAATAAACTCAATCACCACAATACTGTTTATATTCTGCGAAAGGAAAAACCCATAACTTAGAAAATGAAACGGTATCACCACGTTCATCATAAATAGCAATAAATTCAACGGATCAAAGAATATGTACACATATATATAAGCTTTCTATAACACACTACATAAATATGTTGCCGAAGTACCCTCACTATTGTTTACAAATCTTAATTCCTATCCTTTCAAGCGCTACCGTTCAGATAGTGAGAAAGGCCTGGGTAGAGGGGAAAACTACTCTCGGTACTGCGGAAGGGCTACAAGAAGACGTTTTCACCCTCCCCACAAAATTAGAGTCATTTGTCCGCGCTCTCGTCAACACAAGATCGAGACTGACAGCAAAAAGATATCAGCACAAAAGTAGACTATATCCACAACATAACTATCACTTATAACCAACACCTACGTTCGAAAACCCGTGCGGCGCGAAACTTTAGCGCAGTTGTACGGATTTCTTTTGGTGAGGACAATTTTTTTGTCTAAGATTGAAATTTCGGCTGAGAGCTAATTTTTGCAAGGTCCATTTCAGGGAACGCTATCAAAACTTTTTAGCCTCTTAATTAAACGTGCGTAGATGTGAGCTAGACGGTAAGTATGCATAAAATAAATTAGTTTGAATTCAAGGAAAAGGAACTGAAAAGTTACTAGGAAAAAAAATTGACGCGTTTCAGTCTACAGTGGCTTTTTGTTTTTGTTTTTGGCAGGAGATTACTTTGCGACCCAAGAGTTGTACTTACAAGTAAGTTCAAAAAGTAAAACGATTCTCATAGCTTGAATAACTATGGTTCAATCAGTTAGTCATGAAAATTTCACATCAGTGATAAAATTCAAATTATCCCTTGTCTCAGACCAGGGGTACAAATCGAGCCCAAGGTCCATGGAAGTCTGTGTAATTTTGTCCAAATTAAAAATCATAATTTCTCTGCTGAAACAACGGATCTCAAGGATTTTTTTACGTGCTGGTACATGCAGTGCTCGCGTGTCCTGCCGCGTTAAAGGCTCTTGAAGCAAACTGTTCGTCACTACACGTACCTGCGCACAATAACAACACACGCACGTGAGTGTGAAATACGTGTAAATTACACGAAATCAGTAAACTCACTTCTGTGAATATATGAAAGTCATATATTTCAACTGCGGATAAAGACGGGAATATGATAGTGATCTTTGCAGTAATTAATGAACTCTACTTGAGCAGTAGTGAAAATAGGGCCTGAAAAAAATTCAGGCCTGTACGGGATTTGAAACCATGACCCTTGTGATAGCGGTGCAGCGCTCTACCCTCTGAACTAACAAGCCAACTGGGAGCTGGTCACTACGTTGGTGCCAAATAAACCCGTGAAGTAGGGAATAAATGAAGGTGAATACAGCTATTTCAATTTACGTTGTCGGATCAAAGCTTCAAGGGTACGGGACAAGACCGAAAGGCGGTATGGGTAGATTAGAATTAATTTTAGGCTTTCGGGGTTGTAGGCTTGAGGCTTTGATCCGACAACGTAAATTGAAATAGCTGTATATGAAAGTCATATATTTCAACTGCGGATGAAGACGTGAATATGAAAGCGATCTACACAGTAATGAACACTACTTAAGCAGAAGTGAAAATAAGGCCTGAAAAAAATTCAGGCCTTTACGGGATTTGAACCCATGACCTCAGCGATACCGGTCAGCGCTCTACCAACTGAGCTAACAAGCCAACTGGGAGCTCGTCACTATCTTCACGAGTTTATTTGGTAAAAAAAAAAAGCGCTTGGAAACAAAAGCCATACCGAATAAAAAATAAATTTGCAGTAAGAGAATGTTGGTAAAATAAATCATTGATTCCCTCAAACAATAAATTATTGTGTCGCTCGAGGCACGAGAAACTATTACCTCCGCTCAAATGAATTCAAAATGTTGAAAAAACTTTATAATTGTCAAGACAACTTGAACAACCAAAAACCATTTTTGTCTCATATTTAGAAAATAAGTTCAGGAAACTAGTTTAACCAAGGGACATTTGTTTGCATCTGAATGCAAATGAAGCTATGGATTGCTTCCCTACGCGACAAGCCATATCAAACCGCAACCTGTTGACCTCAATAAGTCCTGTATTAGTCTACTTGCTGGCACATCAAATGAGGTAACAATTCCAATATGTTGTCAGCATCCACTTGAAAAATCTTTTCTGCCAAAACAACTTCAAATTTAAGTGTTTGCGTCCGCTAAACTGAAAGTGTCGTTTCCAAATAAATGGATTAAATTTGACACCAAAACTCTACAACAATAAACAAAATTCGTTTCCTTCAAATTATGACATGAATTAAAACGAGAACATAATTCCTCAGAGATCGTACGCTTTTTGCGTTTCGTTGAAGCACCAAATATCAAAATGGAAGCTGATATTATCAGCAAATCTGTTTACGTAATTATTTACGTTTTTATTTTATTTGCAACAAACTTACGCAGAAAGAGAGCCATCCCGGCTAAAGAAATATATTATTTCAACACAAGAATGAGCTCATCGCAATTATCAAATTCTGCAAAATTTTCACTTTAATATAATAAGGCTGAAGTTCACCAAAAGTTTAACAATATGTTAAAGCTAAAACTGAAGTACTAGGTGTGATAATGAAAACTGAAATACACTTAAGGGTCTACATTTTTCAAAAGGAAAATGGGTTAAACGGGTGACAAGAAGTATTCACATAGATATTATTGACATACAGGCAATACGCATGCAACTCAGCGAAATCCCTAATAGTTTGTTGTTTTCTTCCCAAAATATATAAAAAAAATGGCTGATTAAAATGTTCATTTTTACGCATACAAGTGAGTTTATACGTAGCTTATAGCAGTCTGAGTTATTTTCGACTCTTTTTTTTCCAATTCTTAATCAAAGGATATCAGCTGTCAGGGAATACAAAAGTGTCTCTGATTCGGAAAAAGTCTAACACGTCTTGGCAAGATAGCAGCGATCTAAGCAAACTTCATTCAGTTTAACCAAATTATCTCCTACATTCTACAACAGTTTGACATTGGATTATGAAAATCGCAAGTCTGTCTTTGCAACTGAGGTCATCACGCAAAAACTTGAGATCACGATATATAAATAGCAACGTGTCTTTAAAACAGTCCTGTAATTATTTTTAGAGTATGGTGGTTTTCAGTATTTAGACTGGTATCTCAATCAGGGTAAGAAACCCACGCTTTTGCCAGAGATTCGCGTCAAAGAAATTGTGTCCCCTTGAAATATTTAGTTAAAAGAGCAATATTCTACCCACAACCTAACTCAGTTTGATGTCAGAGCTGAAACATCTGAAAAGCAATTCTGACTAACTTTTTCGTCATGATATCGGTGGAAGAAATGTTCATCAAAAGATATAAAAGAGGCAGTTTTTCTCACTGTTTAAAAAACCGTTGCACACGGGAAGAAAGAACATTCAAAAAGGCTCCACGAACTGCGCTCCTTGTAGAGTACAAGATGGTAAGTTATTGATATTTCCCTAAACCCTCCCTGTTTGATTCTTAGATTCCTAGACCCCAATCCTATGTACTGTTTACCTCTACAATCCCGAATCTCGTTTCCCGGCACCATTTCTCCAAAAATCCCGATTCCTGGACTGAAGGTCGTTCTTTTGAAATAGTGCCTGCTCTGGGATTTTCTCAAACCTTACCAACTGGTTGTTTATTTTATAGGTAAGTAAATTTTGAAATAAAAAGGGAGATCCTGTGGTCGTTTAGGAGAAGTAGTGCCTTGTAGATACCCGTACAGACAACTCTTATAGCATCATGACAATTACAGTGTCGAGTACCTACTTCGAGTTTTTTGTCTGTTTATTACTTACTCTAAGCTGCCAGTTAGGCACAGTTTTTGTGTTTATTGCCGAGTGACGATGGAAAGCCAATGAGTAAACGTATTTTCTCATCTAGGAGTCTGTGATTTAAAAGTAAAAGTAATTTCACTGAAAAGATCACAGAAATTCAAACAGGAGCGAGCATATAAGAATGGAGCTGAATATTAACTATCAACATTATTCGACCTCCTTGATTCAGCAACTTAACATTGCCTCTCTTTTTGACCAGAAATTAAAGCTGCTGTTTTCATGTCTTTCTCTGCTGACCATCACCGTTCAATCCATGTCTTTAATTGCAGAGACAAAGGTAAGAACGAGATCATATTTAATTTTTCATTCAAGGGCGAAGCGACAATTTCTGCTGGCGCTCATATTCTCATATACCCGCGTGCGTGCTTCCCAAATTGCAATGGTGTCTCAATCTTCTCCTTTCTTGAAGTAAAGCCTCCACAGGGATGCTAGTTGCCGCAAACATATGAAAATGTCTTTTAGTATTTGTCTCGACGTATGAAGGATACAAACGCTCGATTGATTTAAATCTCAAAACATATATTCCCGCATCTGATGAAACTTCTCTCTTCTTAGAGTTCCTTGACTAAATATTCTCTGGAACTGTCAAGTGATGGAAAAAGATTTGGCGAACAGATCGAAATTGACACTGCAAAGGGAACAGAGACTTTCCATGTACCAAAGACATCGCTCAATGAATCAGCAGGGGATATAGTCTACGATTTCAAAAGGGTGAATATCAATGTGATTTTCTGTTACAGTCGGGGCCCATTTTTTTCTGTTTATATTTTTTTCTGTGGAGGGGGGTTGGACATAAAGTTTTAACTTTTTCTCTGTTTGTTTTTCATGCAGCAAGTGACGATGGTTCGTTTGCTGGAAGAAAAGGCTTGTTATATGGCTGATTCAATCGATGAAACTCTCACACCTGCCGATTTAAAGGAAGCTTTAGAGATGGTGAGCGAAAGTTACTACCAAAGTGCAACACAGCGTCTTATCATTTTCCATTTCAGGCATCCAAGATCTCCTTTGCGTCCTTTGCGTCCTTTGAGTTCTTCTATAGTTTTAGATCCTTGTTATGGCACGGTAGTCTCGAACCCAGACCTTCCATTGGAAGCGGTTGTTACAGTTACACGGTAGTATCTGGGTACGAGATTTGTGGCACGGTAATCCCTCCAACCTATGACTTCAATACCATTGCTGAGATTGCATTAAGTTCTAAGGTCCGGCTATTTTAACAAAGTTCAGCCGTTGTTTAACAAAACCGCGTACTGGACAATCCTCAAGTTAGCTAGACTTTTCAACTGTACATCATTTTTTGCGAACAGTGACGAGAGGGCCGGAAAATAACCGTGGAAGGACAGTTATCTAATCAAATCAATGCTCTCATGTAGAATTAGAGCCTGGCGCTCACTGATTACATAGAAACCGTGGTTTGGGTTAGACTTCGAGTAAATAACCGGCCATTTGGCGTTTTTCTTTAAGGGATTGTCAATCGAAACAAATTTAAATTAATGAAAACAGCTAGTCATTTTCATTTCTATGTTCTACCATGTCATTTTTAGCAAACTCCTGGTGCGGGCGAAGAGTCAACAACTTCTTCAACTGAAACACAAATGACAGTTGTCGGAGAGCTTGAAGATCGTTCAGGGCTGAGTGCTGAAATGGCAGATCTGTGTGTGAATCTGCCAATCTATGTTGTTACCGATGGTGCTATGAACCTCAATGACGAGGAAGCTGACGAGGAAACGGATGCGGATGATGATAGGGAAGTTGATACAGAATTTTATGAGGACGTTGATGAAGACGCCAGCAATTCTCGTGAAATAATCGACTTGGACGACACTCCTGACACACGTAAGTCTTAAACAATCAACCGTGCTTAATACTTTTTACATCTTTAAGGCAATAAGTAGCCCAGGGGCACGAGGTGGGTTGGGTTGTAAGGTGAGGTAGATTTAAGCCCCCACCCCCTCTCTGGTGGACTTGTTTTGCCCAAGAACACAATACAATAACCCCGCCAGGTCTGGAACCCACACCTCTCCTGCACACTAACCACAAGGCTACTGCGTCTTGCACACAATTTCAGAAGCTCCATATCCATAGGATATTTGTGTTTTTTGTACTTTTCACTGATTGCATTTTTCTTACTTTATCCACAAGGTGTAAAACGAGGTTTCTTCCGCAAGCGGAAAGGTAGTAGGTTGCTGCGCAAGCTCAAAAAGAAGGCCTGTAAAAAGGTGTGTAAATGGGCCATAAAAAGGATTTGCAGAAGAGTTCCTGACGGGTTCAACAAGTTGTGGCGAAAGTGCTTAAATCTCCGAAACAGAGGATGCAAGCGTGTTTGCAGATGGCTGATTGGATAAATTGGTCTATTTGCTACTTGTGTCTCGGAACAAGCGTTAAGAAATGCTATACAATAATTTAATGGAACTTGACCAATGAGCTAGTTTATTCTAAGGCTTTTTTTAAATTTAATCACAACTTCCGGTTTGAATTTCCGTGAAATGAAGCATTTTAATTTGTACAGCTTTTTTCTTCATCCAACCTAATCCTCTCGAATGAAAGAAACGGTTTAGTCGCTTCACTAACCCCTGAACTCTCACAAGTGATTATCATGTAACTTCTCCCCAAATATCCTTACATTATCCAGCAAGTAGGTAATGAGAATACTCAAACTTATCAGGTAGAAGTTGTCTTAAGATTCCATTGAGGCTTTTCGATTGTAAGGAAAGTTCTGAAGTAAATTAGAAATAAAACGTTTATTTAGATTCAAAGTATAATCCTCACTTCACACTAAGCAGTATGATTGTTTGAAAAGAGCGTGTAAGAGCGACCATGTAGGAGACTGGGCGCGGCGTCCAAAGGCAAAGGCAGCTCATTGGCCGAATTTCAGTGTATATACCCACTACAATAGAACGTCTGATTTTCTGCCCCTAGCCTCTCACCCAAAACGAGGGTGAGTACGAAGCCTTCGATACAAAAAGTGTTTATCATTTTCTTGCCTTTCAACTCATTACCAAAATAAATATTTTAGATTAGCTTTGTTTTGAAAGAGGTAGTTTTTCTTTTGTTCTCACAAATGGGCCAACTGGTTTGCTAGCAGTTGATGTGGGTGTAATGTTACGGAACTAAGAAAATAAACTCAATCATCACTCTTCGTTGGGTTAAAAATACCAATGTCTCTCGTGCATTGTTTGTTTTTTTGTTGTTGTTGTGTTGTTCTATCCCAGTATTGACTTACAGCTCCGATGTCCAAAATAATACCTAGCCCCCATTTTTGTCAGCCTACCGACGTTACAAGTAGAAACAAGAGATTATAACCTGTTTATATTCTCTTAGTGAAAGGAAAAACATGAACGACAACTGAAAGAAAAAATACATTATTTCATAACAATATCTAAACTGCTTCATTCACAGATGTAAAACCTTGGCTAAGAATCTACATGCTTTACTCTGCTTAGCGTATACCGTATTACCACAGCCGTATTACTTAAGAAGTCTTTTACAAAAATAAATTATCTTTGCCTTTACTTATGTCTAACCTTTTTTTTGCTACAATTTTACATTTATTACCCGTAACTTAGAAAATGAAACGGTGTCACCACCGACGTTCATCATAAATAGCAATAAATTCAACGGATCAAATAAGATGTACACATATATAAGCTTTCTATAACACACTACATAAATATGTTGCCGAAGTACCCTCACTATTGTTTACAAATCTTAATCCTCATCCTTTCAAGTGCTACCGTTTAAATAGTGAGAAAGGTCTAGGTAGAGGGCAAAACTGCTCTCGGTACAGAGGAAGGGCAAAAAAAAGACGCTTTCACCATTCCCACCAAGTTAAAGTTATTTGTCCGCGCTCTCGCCAATATAATTTGAAGACTGGACGAGAACTGACAGCAAAAAGATATCAGCACAAAAGTACACTATGTCCACAATATCACTTATACCCTACACCTATGTTCGAAAACCCTTTGCGGCGCGAAACTTTAAGGCAGTTGAACGGATTCCTTTTAGCGAGGATTAATTTTTTGTCTATGACTGAAATTTCGGCCGAAAGCTAATTTTTGCGAGTTCCATTTCAGGCAGCACTATCAAACGTTTTAACCTCCTAGTTAAACGTGTAGATGTAAGCTAAATAGCAAGTATGCGCAGTATTTATTAGCTTCAATAATTCCTAATTCAAGGAAAAAGAATTGAAAAGTGACTATGAAAAAAATTTACGGGTCTCAGTTTGCGGTGGTTTTTTGTTTGTTTGTTTGTTTGTTTGTTTTTTGTTAGGAACTACTTGCGACTCAAGTGTTGTACTTACAAGTGAGTCCTGAAAATTTCACGTCAGTAATAAAATTCAAATTATCCCTTGTCTCAGACAAAGGGTTCAAATGGAGCCCAAGGTACATTTAAGTCTGTAATTTTTCTTTTGCAAAATAAAAAATCATAATTTCTCTGCTGAAATAACGTGTCTCAAGGATTTCTTAACGTGCTGGTACATGCAGCGCTCGCGTGTCCTGCCGCATTAAAGGCTCTTGACGCAAACAGTGCGTCACTACACGTACCTGCGTGCAGTAACCATACACGCACGTGAGTGTGAAATGCGTGTAAATTACACGAAATCATTACACTCACTTTGCAGTCTTAACTTTCTGCCGCCAAACTGAAAGAGGTCTGTTGAATTTGTTTTGCATATGATTTACATTGTTCACCTGCAATGGGCAACGAATTTAGACAACAAAAGCATATCCTTGGAAATTTTGGAACAAAAATATGTAGCCATTTCATTTTTTGGTGAACTGGTGTGACATTGTTCAATACTTTGCCACTGATAACTGTTCTTACGAATAAAAATTTCATTCTACAACAAACATACGAGATATTCGTTGAAAGATCTCAATATTCAAAAGCAATGATTGAATTACCGAAACGCTTTACTTGCTTGTGCACAAGTTAGAGAAAATAGAGTCGCACTGGTCAACCATTGGTGCGCGAGGTAAATTTTAACAATTTTCAAGTAGAACATCACTAGCTAGGGGCGGGGTGGAGAGAGGGGGAAGTCTTGAACAACATCATTCTGTTTACAAATCTGGGAAGCGATTCGGATCCTCCTGCAATGGGAAGGTAAAAGTCGAGGTTAATCTAAACTGAGTTAATTACTTAAAGAATAGGTGAGGTTTGTTGCCCTTAAAAGTAACTTTTTGAGACAGAAAAAGAGCGCATTTCGAGCGCGTGTATTTAAACCAAAACCAGAAGATGTTCTCTAGCCAAACCTCAACCGTTGAAAGCAGTCAAACAGCACCAGAGGCTAGAAGTCAAAGTAAAATATAGTATACTGCCGGAAGTTAGGTTGAGTTATGGCAATCTCACTTTCCTCTCGACAATAAGTGAAAAATTTTTCTAAATTTCAGGAACCCTTTGCAAGAAAAAATGACAAACGTTCGTATACTTTGTCACGTTGTTTTTCCACGCATGAGAGCGTGACGGGTCAAAGGTTACCCTTCGTGTGACAGAAGCGTGACTGACCTTGTAATCTCGAGGTATAAAAAACATTGAAGAGGGAATTTCACTACAGGATTTAAAGTCTCGGAACGTCACACGTGCTGTTATCGTTGGAAAAACTGGTATTTCTGCCAAAAAGAAAAATTCAATATCAACTAAAATAGCGCCATCGCGAGATCAAACGCCGTCACTGCGCTGTGCAAAACTACCTTACAGTTGAAAAGACTACACAGTTTTAGTTTAATATGAAAGAAAACCAACAAATTTAATAATAAATAGACAAAAAAAACAGGAATGGCTAAAGATGGAAAAATTGACACAGCTTGCAAATTATGAATATGGAAAAATCAAGATTTGCACAAAACCTGATGTAGTTTCCTTTACAGCCGCTCTTTGGAATGTCAGGTAACGCCCTTCTTAAAGGTAGCTCGCCGCGTGACATACCAAAAAACAACAACGACAAAAACTAAAGACAACGCGAAATCTTTTTTTCTGCTGAAACGATGGGAGGAACCTCAAATGATGAACACAAACAAAACAAACCTATTCTGACAGGAAATCCAGCAGGTAGTTTCATAGCGACAAACTCTTTTAACTTGTTGAAGTGCTTAAATGGAGCAACAACCTCTAAAACTTTCAGGATACTATAGAGAGAGAGAGGAAAGAAAACAAAACAAAACAAAACAAAACAATAAGAACTTGTTCACAAAATGCACTAAGATGCAAGGTTCCATAACCTTAACAGGAACTGTTTCCATTCTGTGAAAAAATAACTTTATATTAACCCTGTAACTTCCAAGATCCGATTGTTAATTCTTCCTTCCAGCTGTTACAAATTTCCTTGTAAATTAGTTAGGAGAATTTGGTGTCATACCATAATAATAACTTCTAACTGATAAGTTTGAGTATTCTCATTACCTGTTTGCTGGATAACGTATCGATATTATAGGGAGAAGATATATGTTAATCACTTCTGGGAATTTAAGGGTTAATGGTGCAATGAACACCATTGGCTCGATTACCAGCCGCTGTTCGGGAATAAGAGCCCACGCTCCTTCCCCTGAACCCACTTCTCGGGGAGGAGTGAACACCGGGAACGAGAGCGCGGCGGAAATCGAGCCTATGAACAATACCGATATAACAATAGTGATGAAAAACAAACCAACTTACAGATCAACAGAGAGGGGAAAATCTTCACTCTAAAAAAAAAATTAAATAAAAATTAAAAACATGGTTGATGATGTTAGCACACCTCAACGAAACTGGAAAAACTGGTGGTTATAAACTTGCATGGTTCTAACTTCTACTGACACTCACCATTGCTACATGCGCTTTGACAGTTTTCTTGTCTTCTTTGAGCACCATGGGCCGACCAATTGGAGGCAGTCTGTGAATGGAGAGAAACATTAACAATAATAGGGTTTCAGCCTTTTTAACATCACGTGGTCCGGTAGCAAACCCGACTCAAACTTTCTTCGGCTCTCCAGCTAAGAAACTCTCCTCCAGAGACAAGACATTCTTCACTTCAAAGGCAATCACTAAATTTTTAGCACCACTGGGGAAAGACAAAACCAAAGCAATTCTGGACTACTGTTTGACCCCCATCTGAAAATTGCTCCGATCTTGGTCATTTTGCACGATATCAGCAATCAGAAATACTTCTTGAATTTGTATTAAAGAGAACTGACTTGTAATGTCTACTGACCTGTCTGTGTCATACAGTAGGTACTCATCCCATGACATGTCAGTCTTAGGTGGAGGATTAAGGGAACTTCTCCTTGTAGTCTGAGAAAAACAGGTAACAGATACATTAACATCTCAGCGCAAAGACTATAATAAGTACTCGGTTAACCCTTTTACTCCTTTGAGTAACTAGCACCTAATTTCTCTCTGCAATATCAACCCTAAATCACGCATTTACGTCACAAGAATAAAGGAAATGATCACCAACAAAAGCAGCTCTTGATTATTAGACGAATTTTCCTTGTTCACACCTTAGGAAATGTATAGCGAACAGTATGGAGAATATGCACACTGATGTTAAGGTGTAAAGGAATAAGAGCGCAGAATTTCACATGTCTACACTAGATTGAAAGCTTTCTCACCTCAGGAAGGCTGTCCATAATATTTCCTCCTCCCTTGCTTAGATTGTCAATCAGAGCCTGTTAATTCAATGAAAGACTCAGTTCATAACCTGTGACAATGTCCTCATTAAAAGCACTAGAAGACACACATGTCACCACACTTTCTTAACTTTCCATTTATAAAAAAGTCAAAAGTGTAGTAAAAGATTGTGAGTTACTAACCTTGTTTTTCACAACATCTTCCTCTGACAAGTGCTCCCTCCTAGGAAAACAAAGCACAAGTTGGTACAAATTGAACATCCATTGGTAATTATGATTGCTTTCAGCAAAGGAAGTCATCAAACTTTTCAGAAATGAAATGATTCATATTTCCCATTGTTATAACTGACTATATATTTCATTACCCTGAGAACAAGTTATTTTCAAAGCCCAGAGTTATGTGCTCAGAAGAATTATGAGGTGCCTTAGGGCTCTTGAGTCAGAAATCTTGGGTGCCAGGCTCTAGACCTAAACTACTTCACGACTGCTACAGTATAAAAGTTAGCCAATGACATACTGTAGTAACCTGTGGCTGCTACAATTCTAAAGTCAATTTTTTCTTTGATTTTCAATCTTACTAGGTTAAAATCACACATTAGAAACTTTGAACATTTCCTTACCGCTTTCTAGAAATTAGCAACATTCCATTTATGGAATAAACTTCAGACATGTAGGGACCAACCATCTCCTAAACAGTAAACACAAATGTAAAGAGGAAACTTGTTACAGCCAACCAATGACATGGAAACTACACGTAGCAAATAACAGCAAACAAAGAGATGTTACTTACTGATCTGTCTGCACGCCAAATCCAACCTGCTTGTGAGCGACTAAAGGTGATGGGTTTAGTTGACATAGTGGCTGAAACAATGTCACTGCAAAGTAAATAAGACAACTGTTTCACAGGAAAGCAAATATTTGCACAAGGTTCATACCCTCCAGGACTTTTCCAGGACTCAGATTGATTTTTCCAGGGCTTCAATTTTCACCTCAAACCCTTTAATTCCCAAGATTTAAAAATCAATTCTCTTTACTATCTACAAACATTTCTTATAAGTAAATTCTGAAAACGTTATTGTTTGAGTTAAACAAATTTCCAAGACTTTCCTACAACTCTATTCTTTTTCCAGGGCTTTCCAACAACTCTATTCTTTTTCCAAGACTTTCCAGTCTAAGAAAATGTAAAAAGAAAGTTCCAAGACTTTCCAGGTCTTCCAGGACCCATATAAAACCTGTGTGCATCTTTACAGAGGGAAGATTTGTAAGACATATCCCAGGGACCTTTCTGAGGCTCAAAAAAAAACCTCTTACCTTAAAATTAAACCTTTAACTCCCATGAATGACCAAGACAGAATTTCTCCTTACAATATCAACCAGATAAGTGATGAGAATAAAGAAAAATATCAATATGGGGATAATTGATTGATCAAATACTAAATTCTCTGAACTAACATTATAAGAATTGTCTGGTTGACAATAAGGAGAATTACAAATTGGATCTGGGAGTTAAAGGGTTAAATTAATGCCAAGAGCAATAAGCAGTCATAAGGTTTTGGACAATTCAGTCTCGTTGTTGCAAAAAGATAATGTGTCCTGTTTGATAATTTTTTTTTTTTTAACTCTAATCACCTGTTTTCAAAACAATACATGTTAAAAAGGAAGAATTTATTAACTGATCACTACTAGAGGTCAAAAGTTTAACAGTGTGTACCTGCTCATTAGTAGATCAACTTCTTCTTCTATCTCTGCTTCAGTGTCCTGAAAGAAGATGGCAGATGTTGTTTCAATATAGAATTGCTACTTGTCAAAGCACTTATTTAGTCATTCTGGAAAAAGCTAAAATATTCCCACCTTTTCTACATATATGGGATGTTTGCTAATTAAATCATGAGAAAAAATAACTCACCTCTGTCCTGAGTCTTTGAAAAACCTTCTTCTCATTGTCTAACACAGCAAAGGATTGTTTTCCTGCAAAAAATTATGGATTTGAATTTTTTCCAATAATCTTTTTTAATTGAAGCATTTTTAAAACTTTAAGTAAATGAGTGCATATGATAAATAAGTTTAGTGGATTGACAAAAGTTCATCTTGTTTTAGATTAATTAGACGAAACCCATCTTATCATAGATACAACAATAAAGCAATGCAACAAATTTGTCTTATGTTAATTGCTTTAGGGTTCAAACTTAAAAAAAAAACATGTTGGTTAATAAGTTTTCTACATTTTGCTGGCAGTTTTAAAACATGTATCACTAGATAGTAAAATTTAGCAAGATAATTAAAATGTGTAAAATTCAGCCAATAAAAATTAAAAACACCTATCGTGATATTTGCATGTCGTCAAGTTAGATTGATTTAAGTGACGCCACTCAACATTTACCTCTTGCATCTCCATTGAAAATAAATGTCAAGTCACCCCTCTGCCACTTCATGTCACTAAAATCCACTAGTGTACTATCCATTCTGTTGAAAGGAAAAAAAAAGTTCATGACAACGGACAGGAAAAGATTAAGCAAGTAACAAAGAAGTAAACTCTTAAGTATCCTCTGGATAAATCTCTATCCAGTGGATAGTGCAGTATGTTTGGTTGACACTTATCCCCTGGATAGCAATTTATCTGGCTTGGGTTGTTGGAAGGCTGGATAACAGTATTCACTGGGTAAATCTCTATCCGGTGGATGGCATGGTACATTCTGTACACATTAGTGTGCCAGACAGTGATTATCCCTAGGATAGCATCATTCATGCTTTGAATAACCAGGTCCTGTTGGATAGCCTTATCCCACCTTCAAGAAATGGAGTCCAGCACACAAACCATAGGCCAACACTTCTTCCACTGGACTATATAATCAAGTGTAAATTACAATTGACAAAAGTCAAGTGTGCAGATAAGTGGTTTAGTCACCCCACATAAAGGATAAAAAAAGATACAGTCTAATACCTTATGGAGCATCCTTTCTTGTACACTTTACATGTGTCTGATGGCAATATTCTGGACAATAGTGGTACTGCAAAATAAATTTTAAACAGACAAATCTATATGGTACCAAAAGTATAACATAAATGAACAGAAAAAAATGCAAACAGAGCAAAAACGTTTTTGTACAAATTGATGAAATCTGTTCAGTTTCTGAATTATTCTGACTGACTGTACATACCCCAGCTTTGAAAATCCCAATTAATCTCTACATAGAAGTCTCCAAGCTGGAAAAAAAGGAGCAAATTCTAAAATTACCATACATTTAAGCAACAGACCCCACTTTCTATCTATTTACCAGCAAATTAACCAACACAAGATGTTTGGAGAACACAAAAAAGTTTGTAAATAAGAAAGTGGGAGCAAGCAGTTCCCAAACTTTTCAGGAAAGAACTACATGTATGTCAGGCATTAGTAACTAAACTGTGAATAACAACTGAAAGCACACAGTAAATAGTTTCTGGTTTTGAGGATTTCTTGCATGTACTGAATTTTATTTTCATTGGTACAATGTAATTACAAGTACAAGTATTCATTTTAGGGATTCAAATCCAATTGAAGTCTTCACAATTTTTTGAGTCTCACACTATGAGCACTTGTAAGAGGAACACTCCTTGGTTGGTAATTTGCTTAGGTCTCTCTTGCACTTGGCAAATTATCAGCAAAGCAAGTGGAAGTTAATGTACACCAGTGACCATAATATTAATCTAATCATAACCAATACCATTTCCTCACAAACGATCAGTGCATTAGGTGCTTTATTTTTCACTACTAATTCCATATAGTTGTAATCAGACAGTTGGCTGTAATCAGACAGTTGGCTGTAATCGGATACCTGTAATTGGTCAGTTCTAGCAGCCAATCATACTAAGTCCATTCAACTGAATTCCTCAATCACAGAATTGATCACAATAACCATAACGACAACCACTTATCTTTAAAAAATTTGGGGAATTTCCAAAATGGAGGGATTTTTTTACCTTACACATTGTCTCTACTATAGATGTTTGTCCTGAATGTATATATTTTTTTGCGAAATTGTTAGTGATGATTAATTGGTAACAAGACTAAGTAATAAGTTGTATGATTACAGACCAAATTGGACTCCACTTGCTTCTATTACCATTATAAATTACCTCTTGTAATGCAGTTGTCAATTGAGGTCTTCTTTCCTCTAGAGCTTCTCTTGATTGTTCTTTGAGTTTCTTCAGTAATGATGTGACTATAAATTCACAAATACAAGATGGTTTAAGTACCAAATATAAAGCTGTAATCCAGTTCTGAGAAAACCTTACAAAAACTGAAAATCTACTAGTCTCAGACAAGCTGATATGCAAAAGCTTTCTGCCCTGCACAAAGGTGGCAAACAAAACAACAATTTGTATCGTCAAGAGAAACTTACTTATTTGCCGATCCCCATAACTGATGGCTTCAGCCAGAGGAGTCCATCCAAAGTTATTTTTCACTTTCACTGGGGCTTTGTGGGCCAGCAGTAAATACACACACTCTAAAATAAAAAATTACATGCTACAGGACAAGGCAATAAAGCACCTCTGCTGAATCAAGGTCATGTTTCATAGGTAAAATATTATAATATTAATTTTAACAAGTTTGTCAACCTGCTATTCAAAACACAGATATAGTGTTACCAAAACTTTGTGAATAGAAATCAGTTGGTAACATGCTGCTTTGCAAAATCACATTAAGCCTTTTAATTTTGCCAGCATGTTAACCAATTTATCTTTGTGCCAACTTAATTAACATAATGCCCATTAAATGAGACCACAGTGTAGATGTAGTGTGTTAACAAGTTTCTTGTGGTGGGCTGTGGTTTTGTCACCATAGTAATCACCATCCTGCTAAATAGACTGGAACCCCCCTCTCTCCCTTCTTCAATAGCAACTACCCTCTAACACTACTGACCAAGAGTTCTGAACAGAATTGGTCCAAAAAAATTCCCATGTCTATTTGATCCATGTACCAGATAAATCTACAAAAGAGTATCTCTTACCTCTGTGACCCAAGAGAACTGCCAAATGAAGGGGTGTATTTCCTAAACAATGAAAAAAAAATCAATCTACCTTAATAATACAGAACAGAGTGTCAACTAATTTCTTCTTACAAATCACCCTTCACCAAGTAAAGAAGCTCTTGATTTCTAAACAAATTCTCCTTATCAGCACTGTAGGAAACATAGAGAACAGCATGGAGAATATGCATACTTATGATAGGCTGTTGAGGATTGAGCAATGATGTGAAAATGCTTGTACTCTCTATGAACGAGAGATCAGGTCAAAATGAGTTTAAACTAGTTTAATTTGCTTCCCTGTGTTCTCTTTAAATAATCTCATTTCTTAAACAAAGAAGATAACAAATAAGTCTATATTAGAATCAGGGTAATTTGCTTTATTAACTCAGTTGATAACCTAAATTGGCCACTGTTGAGAGTTTCAAAGCTGACATGTCAAGTGTTAGCCCTTGAGCATGGGCTTGCTCTGATAAAGAAATAATGCTCGAAACATCAGCTTTGAAACTCTAAATGGTGGCCAATTTACATTGTCAACTCAGTTGACAATACTTTATTACCTCGATACACTCTACCACCAATGCAAAGAGACTTAACTCCTTTTTATATCTTTTCAGGAGACAATATTTAACAACGATATCAATAACGTGGATTTCAACAAACTAGCAATATATTTGACACAAATTAAAACCCTGTGCGTGTGTTAATTAATTTTTTGTGGGTCAAACATTTTAAAAAAAGATAACGTTTGTGTTCAGAAGTCTTCCAAATATGAGATATGTATAATTTCTACAAAAAGGCCAGGAATGCTAAAAAACCGCAATTCATTATTGATTACAATTTTCGACTTCATAAGGCAAAGAATTGATAGGATCACAAGAGAGTCAGAGATAACAATAACCTTTGTACGTCTGGCAGATATTGGCAAACAAAAGTATCTTTTTTTTTTTTCACATTCGCGTAAGATTTGACCACATCGAAACAAATAAACCATTGAAAGGGAAATTAGGTCTTGAAAAATCCTCGCATCGCTACAAATACGAAAAAAGTTAAAAAGACGCGGGGTAACTTTTAAATTTGATGCTACATGTAAACATGTTCTCAAAATTGTCATCTGGTACTCCGGTGACCATATAAATTCTACGCAAGATTTTTTTTTTCTTTCCATGACATGGCTGCTTAAGAAAGGGTAAAAATTACTCATACGCTCAAGGAAAGGGTATTCTCCTCTATCAGACACTACATAAGTAGTTATGCTGTAAAATTGGGAAAATTAATCTTACATATTTCGATTCGCGACAATTTGTAACCGCCGGCCGGCAATGGGCGGTTGTGAAAACAAACTGTTGGGCGCTGTTTAAATGAAATGAAAATGAACAGAAGTATTACCATGTACATCTCTTTCTCCTACATCATAGGTGCGTAAGCAACTCGAAACCTTCCGAAGATTCCCCTCAAAAACCGCTCTGTGAAGAGGAAATCTGTCGCATAACGAATCCATCAGTAAAGTAAAGTTCTGCGTTACCTTCCAATGACGTCAACTGTATCCCATGATTCACACGTGCAAGAATCATGGCGGACACCTTACGCCTGAGAGCTCAGCAAAGATGGAAGATTTTGGCCTCTATCATTAAGAAGGAGAGTTTGGAAAAAAATGAACAGAAGGTGTCTGTGCGTAGATTTTCGGGATTCAACTTATTTTCTAAAAAGATCGTGCTGATCGAGACAGAGCTGAACGAAAATGGAGCCGATTATGAGTGGGTGGAATATCGACATTGGGAAATTGTTGCAACCTGTAACAGCCTAGACAATACACCATTGTTAATAAAACAGCGATGTAGGAAAGTTGTCCTTGAAGATTTAATTGGTTTCGATAACACCGGCAACGTTTGCTTGTGGCCGTCAGAGGAAGTGCTAGCTTCATATGTGCTTAAACACAGAGGTCAGTTTTGTGGGAAAGCAGTTTGTGAACTCGGAGCAGGTATGACGGCGCTAGCTGGCATCGTTTTAGCTGTCATGGGAAATCCTCTCAAAGTTTTTCTTACAGACGGTAATGACAGCTGCGTGAAAAATATGGAAGCAATCCTGCAGCAAAATAAATCATCGTTTGGTTCAACTGTTGTCCTGTCCGAGAAATTGTTATGGGATATTAACTCAGATTTATCTCATTTGGAATCACAATTTGATTTTATAATCAGTGCAGATTGCTTGTTTTTCACTCAGTCTCACTATGGCTTGCTTCATACAATGGCAGTTCTTCTCAAAGACAATGGTTGTGCAGTCATTATGGCACCACAAAGAAAGGATACACTTGAAACATTTTGCAGCAAGGCCTTGTCTCAGTTTTGTGTGGAGAGGATTGAAAACTATGACCCAGTTGTGTGGTCACAGCACCAAGCAGTGAAAAACGAGGACCCACTTTATGATGAAGACATCCATTACCCTGTGTTATTGCTTCTTACTAAGAAAACCAAGAAAATGCAATTGCATCACCACAGAAGCTCCAGATGAATTTTTGTTATTTTTTTTTCTAGTGGACTGAGTAATGTCTGGCCAGAATTTGAACCTGTAACTGTGCTTTTCCAAGAAATTTTGATTAACACTGGTGCAGTAAGATGGAATAAAGAATCTACAAATGTTATTTTGCATTTGTGTACATGGACCTCAATTTAATGTTGTGGTTTGTAAGCAAAACTCAAACTTTCTCTTGCATTCTCATTGCTCATAATTATTTAAGCAAGTTAGAGGCACAGGTAAAAAGCATATAGTATGAGAAAGAAGCTGCCATACTGTGTCTTACTCATCACCTGGGCATTTTGAAAAAATTGGTCAGAATTAAAATAGTAGGGGTAATTGTATTACACACAGGTATAAACGACTCAGTCAAATCTTCAATCATTAAGCTAACCCCTCAAATCCCAAGATCTCATTAGTAATTCTCCTTACTGTCTGCCATACAATTCTTGTGATTTTAGTTTGGAGAATTGAATTGGATCTCTTAAAAATGCCCAAATTGAAATTTTTCTTTAGTCCCATTTCTTGTTTATTTAATATTGTATCTATATTTTGAGGATAAATTCTGTTTTGGTCACTCGTGGGAGTTACTCCCATAAGTGACCAAGACAGAATTTCTCCTTACAATATCAATACAATATCAAGCAGGCAGGTGATGAGAATAGAGAAGAATATCAATCATGGGATTATTAGTTGATCCAATACCAGATTCTCTGAACCAACATCATAAGAATTGTATGGCAGATAGTTAGGAGAATTACTAATTAGATCTTGGGAGTGAAAGGGTTAAGTATTTATTTCAGGTAGACAATCACATCTCATACCACCAGGTACAGATACATTATTTATTCCTCAATAATTTATTCATTAGTGATTCTTTATTAATATTTACAAGCTGAGGAAGGTCTAATTGTTATAAATGTGGGTTTTTTAAACCTATTCCTTCGCATTCAATAATGCATTCTTTCTCATCAGGCATCTGCTGCACCTTGAACTTTGCCTGAAAGAAAAACAAAACCTTTAAAATTTTGATCAAGAAACAAAATAGTACAGTCCAAACTGTATTAAGCAGTCATCCACAGGGAGTGGTGGGGTGACCACTTAATACAGGTTTTACAGAATAAGGGTAATGCTAAAAAACAACAAAAACTGCCATTTTATGCCATAATCGACTACTTTAATGTTAAAAAATTTGCTCAAAAACACTTGTCTTCTAGCTTTGATTTTTGAGAGAGAAACATGGATTTAATTTTATTTGAAAGATTATTCTTAGTTTTATTTGAATGAGTGGCTCAGCTTCACATGACCGTTCATTAACAATTGGTTGATACGTCAGCATGCGTTCATCGAGATATGAAGCACGCGGGAAGTTTGGAGAGCATGAAAGATGCATATGAGTCGCTTGAGGCATAGCCGAGAGCAACTCTAGCTTCTTGAGTGCTCTCCAAACTTCCCTAGTGCATCATATCTCGATGAACGCACAGCTCATGTATGAATCAATTGTTTTATTACATTTTCAATCCAATGGAAAATTTTTTTTCTCAAGGGATTTGTTTGCTGACGTCATGAGTGTGCACAATAGGAATATGAAGCATGCTCATGCAATTGAATTTGATTGGACAAATTTACTCGCTATGTTTTAAATACACGTGAAGGATACTACAAACAGGCCATGGAGCCTCAATGAAAGGTGAACACAATCCCTTACTAGTTGTGAAAATTACCGTAATTGAGGGAGAAAAAATTTTGGACTTTGACAAGTGACTGCTTAGGGTGACTGCTTGATATAATGCCCCTTAATACAAGTTCAACTGTGGATAGATATTGTTTACCAATAGTCTCTCTTGAAGAACTCTAGCACTTTGACTTCTTGGAGTGACTAGAATCTCAGTGCTTCTTACAATATCACCCCTGAATCACACAATATGGGGATCAATATCAGTATCTGAGCAAGTGCCCACCTACCCCTCCCCTAACTCAACAACAGTCAATTGCTAACAAGTTAGGGTTAATGTTGGGTTAGGGGAAGGGTAAGTGGGCAGTTGCCCAGATACTGATATTGATCCCAATATGGTCACAAGAATAAGGAAATGATCCCCAACTAAAGAAGTCCTTGATTGGTAAACAAATTCTTCTTGTCAGCACCGTAGGAAATGTCTGGAGCACAGTATGGAGAATGTGCATACTGATATTAGGGTGTAAAGGGTTAGGAGCAAATGAAAACTTAAAGTATAAATAGGCAAACTATCTGACTTGCAGGAAAATACTTGTGACCAAGTCCCAATTGGTTTTATTTTTAGTGATTGGTTTATATAGAAAGGAATAAAAGTTTCTGGAGTAATAGCAGATGGCTGTGAACCAAAACCAATGCAATCCCAGACTACTTTTAACCCTTAAACTCCCACGAGTGACCAAGAAAGAATTTCTGCTTACCAAATCAATCCAATATTAAACAGACAAGCAAGAAAATATCAGTTGAGGGATAATTAGTTGATTCAATACCATTTTCTCAGAACTAACATCATAGGAATTGTGTAGCAGACAGTAAGGAGAATTACTAATGAAATCTTGGGAGTGAAGGGGTTAACACCTGATTGAAAATTGTATCACTCTCACCACATTTTCATTGCTATGTTACATCAAGTAACTATAGATGTATAGCAACTAGAAGGGAGAATTAACAATCAGATCTTGCTTGCAAGTCTCAAAGCCTGCCCTGATATGTTAAACAACACTGTTCCTCCACACATACACTTGCACACCTTAACTACAGGTATACAGCAACTAGAGATGATAATTTATTATCAGATCTTGCTTGCGAGTCTTAAGGCCTGCCTTGATATGTTTAACAACACTGTCCCTCTACACACACACTGCTCACTCTAGAAACAGCCATAAATGGTTACCACTTTTTAATGCTGAGACATAAAAAAACACTCAAGTTTAAAAGCCACCATAGTAGCATACCTTCATGATTTTCTCAGCAACATGAATAGCTGTCTGTGTGTGCATAGTGAGTGGTCCACATTTCATAGATGAACGACCAGCAGCTAAAGCCATAAATATGATCAGCTGGAAATGGAGGATCACAGAACATAATCATCAGTCATAAACAGTGCATTACAATCTTCAAAATGTCAAATGCTTGGTGACCAATCTTACCCTGTTTGACACCTAAATTTGATCATGTTTCAGTATCACATGTTCACACTTACATGCACGCAACAGTAGAACTTCCCTAACATGTAAATTCTAAAAGATGATTTTAACATGTAACTTCTCCTTGTGATTCCAATATGTCACCTTGGGAACAGGTTATGAGAATAGAGAAGATCATCAGTAGGAGGATGTTATCTTGATAAAACACTAAATTCTCCTATCTTATTTATAAGAAATGTGAGGCAATCAGCAGGGAGAGTTACTTAAATTGGATTGTTAGAATTACAAAGTAAAATGTATATGTTTATAATTCTACACAATCAACCTGATCCTGAAGATGTTCATCAACACAACTGTCATATTGAAGATTATTTGCCAGCTCCTCAACTGCGTTTCTTGCAACCTCCTGTGGAGAAACACCTTGACCATAGAAAAAGAAACAAGATATCACTTCCCTTGATCTTAAATTACAGGTTCTTAGACAAACCATCAGTTGCTATGGAAATAGCAGGGAGTAACCTAAACCAAATGAAGGGAAGCATGGGAAAGGGGAAAGGTGAATCCCTGTGACCTCTGACCTCACACCTGTCACACACCTTCTACACAGGGGTTTATATAATATTATTTAACTTACAATATTGATTAGTCAGTTTTCTTAGTGTGTTATATGCCGGTGAATATGTGTTATCTTCTGTCTATTGGGTTTTGCAAACCCTTCAACTCCCATGAGTGACCAAGACAGAATTTCTCCTTACAATATCTATACAATATCATGCTGACAAGTGATGAGAATTAAGAAAAATATCAATTTGGGGATAATTAATTGACCAAATACTAAATTCTCTGTGCTAACATTATAAGAATTGTATGGTTGACAGTAAGGAGAATTACAAATTTGATCTAAGAGTTAAAGGGTTAATGTTACTGTGATAACTACCAATCTAAGTTTGGGGCTTGTTTTCTTAATTTGTTATTAATAATCAAAACTGAGAATATTTTAACCACTTAATTATACATATGACGTACAGAATGGGCAATTACCTTTCCTTCCAATTGCTGATCCAGCAATTCTACATCCAGTAGAGGATTCAGCCATAAGCCTAAAAATTTAATATCAATAAATTCTAAAATAGTTACATTTGCAATTTAAGTATGAGGAAAATCAACTCATTGGGTGATTTGGGGCTTGATAATCTTTTCTTTTATGGTATGTCATCCACTTAAAACGTATACTATGTCTGTGAGTACAAAGTGTACAATGAAGACGATGACATTTGAACATCTTTAAAAATAATTGTCTGGACTAAGTACAGTTACAATTCCTCCTAGAAACTCAAGGGTCCAAAGTAATGAGACAACTGCAAGACTTCGGTAAAAATAAATAATTTTGAATGGAGTATTATCTGTTCACAGTCTGTGCCAGCACTAATAATTTAAGTAAGTAATTATTAACAGGAATTACATTATTCCAGATCCACTTCCATGTGCCTTGTCTCCAGGTTCTTTATCTGGTTCTATCTTAATATCCTGCACATCAGGGTACTTCTCCTTCAACATTTTATGGGCCACTTCAGCCATAGTCTGGGCCATCTATCAAAAAATTTGGACCAATACTAGTATCTAGGTGACTGCCTACCTACCCCTCCCCTAACCCAACATTAACCCTAACTTGCTATCAGTTGACTGTTGTTGGGTTAGGGGAGGGGTAGGTGGGCAGTTGCCCAGATACTGATATTAATTCAAAGATTAAATCAACCATATTGATAAGCCAACTAAGGCCCTGTTCTTTCATAGACAGAAAATACCAAAACTTTGACATTAGGATTTAAGGTTCAAAATAAGCTTTGTTATTTGGGTGACAAAAAGTGATGAAACATGCACTTCTGTTTCAATCACCTGTGAGCTGGAACAATTTGGACACCAAAAAGTCTGACATGTAAAATAGTTAATAACTGTGAATATATGAAAATCATATATGTGAACTGCAGACAAAGAAGGGAATATGACAGTGATCCTCGCAGTAATGAAGACTACTTGAAGGAGCAGTAGTGAAAATAAGGCCTGAGGGAAATTCTTATAATATTATGTGAGCCAACTGGGAGCTGGTCATAATGTTAGCTCAGTTAGTAGAGCACTGCACTAACATTGCAGAGGTCAGGGGTTCAAATCCTGTAAAGGCCTTAATTTTTTCAGGCATTATTTTACTAACTGAGCTGACATAATGGTCAAGTGGTGCTCATTACTGCAAAGATCGCTTTCATATTCAAAATAGTCATTGGTCAGGAACAATTATCAGTTGAATAATGTGCTGAAAAGTTTGGTGATGGGGTTTTGACTGTAAATGTAAAGTAATGGTGTTCTCACAGGCAACCTTCCTTGTTTGCAATGGTAAAAGAATCTCAATAGCCATGAGTCACCGCCCATCAAATGTGAAAGCCCACCAAAAGAAGTCAAATGACATGTTTCCACTGAAACAGAGCCAGTCACCTGTGAGAACATGATAACTTAATGTCAAAACATGGTTGCCAAACTTCCCTCGCTCTTCAATGAACCGAAAGTCATTGCATAAGGGGTTCTTTTGTATTCAAGTTCAAGTGCACAAAGTCAGAGGATTTTGGGACAACGTCTCTACTCTTTAAAGAGATGGCTAACAGCTATCAAAACAGCCATTTGAAGAATTGAAACTTTAGGCTACGTTTAATAAAAATTATTGTATCCTCACTGTCTACAGCTTCATTATGTCAGAACCCCCTAACTTCCTCCTTTCAACAAAACAACCTCACAAATTCTTACTTGAGTCAGGGTTTTCTGCTATTAAAAATAATTTACCAACCTTGAAAGGTAAAACACCTGCAACATAAGCACAACCTGTAATCTTGGATAATGTTCCTCTTTGTAGTAACTGTAATGGCTTCAACTGTTTGACGGGGTTTACTGTAACATGAATTTCTCCTCCTCCTTTAGGATAATAACCTCTTGTACAGAAAAAAAAACAACAACAACAAACACATTAGTTTGGGTCAAATGTTTTTCTGATTTATTAGATGGCATAAGAGAAGAGGCCCTTTGTAAAAATTTCCTTAACTCAAGTTATAAAGTGGACAACTAACCTTTTTACAATCTCACAATCAAAGTCTACACCTAGTCTTTTTATAGCTGGTCTCAAAATCTGCAGAAGGACAACAGTTTTTTTTTAAAAAGTATATCAATCAAAATCCTTTAGGATACATAATTTAATTCAATGCTATGCATGTGGATAAAATAAGAAATACAGTTGAACCTGCATTAAGCAGTACCATTAATAATATTTTTCTCCACCTGTATTGAATGGTCACTGAAAGGGGGAGCACTCAATTAAAACTAAGAATAATTCTTCAAGTAATTTTCAATCCATGTTTCTCTTCCAAAATCAAAGTAAGTTACTGTTACTAGTATTTTACGAGCAAGATTCTGTACATTTAGTGGTCAGTTATGACACAAAGTGGCATTGTTTATTGTTTTTCATAATACCCCTAATCTGTGGGACCTGTGTTAAGTGGTCAACCTGTACTAAAATGCCACCACTCAGCCATTCCCCATGGGTAACTGCTTAATAATGGTTCGACTGTACATTGATTCCTCAGGCTGAAGTCAGTAAAGATGAATCATTTTAAAATACATTTTCTATAATCAAAAAAAACACTTGGACCTTAAACCAACTGCTGCACTGTTAGGATACATCTTTGATGATAATAACACAGATATAAAAGTAGAGCCTAGGAAATAAGTCTACTAATCAAAACACAAGAACATGGGAGGGTTATCTCAATCCTCTACACCCTAAAATCAGTGTATATATTCTTCATACTGCTTCACATACATTTCCCAAGGCATTGACAGGGAGAATTTGTGTAACAATCCAGAGCTTCTTGAGTAATGGTAATCATTTCCTTTATTCTCATGACCTTCATGTGTGATTCAAGGATGATATCATGGGGAGAAATTAGACACTAGTCTCTCTTGTAGGGGTCAGAAGTTTCTAAAAAGACTCCAAAAATATTGCACAGGCTTCCTGTGAGATCCACAACATAACTGATGGCAGCATTTCACAATCCACAATTACAATGATTACCTTGTAATTGAAATGCATAAAAATGATAATGATTGGTTCAGGTCACTTGCTGGCAAAAGTTAAAAAAAATACAGTTGCCTCAGCACTTACATCTGTCATGTAATCAATAGGTGGGGCCATTTCTGCATTTGTTCCTCCTTTAAGTATTAACTTTGATGTCTCAGGAGCATATAGAAGGCAAGGAAGAGCCAACTGCATAAGCAGAGAAACACTCCTGTAGGATGAGAAAAATAACTTACTGACACAACAAATAAACTGAAATCACACCGACTCTTACAAGTCTCTTTTTCAGCTTTTCTTTGGTGTTGTCACACAATGCATCAGCTACATTTTCCCTCTCACTGATGCCTTTGGTGACAGGACCAAACAATGATTACAGAGGGAAAATAAAACAAAAAATTAAAGGATCAATAAAGGTCACCCTAGGAAGAAAATAGGTTCTCACTCTAACTAAATTCTAATTCTAATTTGGGGAAAAATACACAAGAACTTGAAAAGATGACAGAATTTAACAAAGACTAATTTAGAGGTAATTTGGGAAACAACACAACTGCCAATAATAATACAATAACTCTAAATTAACTCTATAAGTAATAATCTTTGACAAAATTTCTTTTTAACTGATTCCTTGAAGTTTGAAATAGAGGAGGTTTTCAAATTTTCACCCGTTGAGTTCCATACTTTGGGGCTCTTAATTCCTATGATAAATATTCCATATTCTCCATACTGTTTTCTGAACATTTCCTATGATGCCAACATAAAGAATTTATTTAACAATCAAGAGCTCTTTAAGTTGGTGATCCTTTCCTTATTCTCATGACCTCAATGTATATTTTATTATTTTAAGGGTGATGCTGATAGGAGAGATTAGTTACTGGTCACTCTTCGGGGTTTAAAAGGTTGTTATACAGTTCCTCTCTTTACCCAGGAGTAAAAATGAGTACAAGCAAATTATCAAGGGAGCCTGATAAAATGCTGAGGGGGTCACAATGTGATGGACTAGCATCCCATTCAGGGAGGAGTACTTTTACTCCTGGGCTGTAGAATTCAAGATAAACTATGGCTGGATGGGCCACTTGGTTTGAAGACAGACTTTACTTTTTTTCATTTTCCCTAATGTTATTATCTGGTTAAATATACAAACTTGAGAATAGGGAAAGATTTTTTTCATCTTGTCACCAGCATAAGAAAAATAAAAAATTCTGAGTCTCTATGAGGAACCAACCCTCAGATCTTCAGATTCCATGCTCTGATGCTCTATCACTGAGCCAGTGAGACTCTATGGTGGGCATGGCCCATTACAAAGGTCATATATGATACACATCCTGCTTACTGCTAGGATCATTAACGTTGATAGCGTCATGTTTTGTAAATAGAATTAGAAAGGTGGTGAGTTATAAGCTTGGTAAAGAAACATGGCAAAATGAAAAGCATCTTTCTGTATTTCTTCATCAAGCTTAAAACTTACCATCTTTCTCATCCTTCTTACAAAACTCCATATTGCAGAAGACTTGTCATGCAATTATTCTAACATATCTCACCCAGCTGTATGAGTATCTGCTAAAAATATCCCAGAACCAATACTGCCTGGATGAAGAGAGATCGAAGTGGAACCAATTTTGTCACCTTCAAGTTTACCAGAAGTAACATCTCGCACCAGTTGCAGTCCTTAAAATCATGAATTAATGACAGCATTAGCCCCAAATCCTTGAGCAGAAATTTTCAAGTGCTGACTGTTGGTAAATAGTCATGACACTAACTGTGACCCAAAACCTCTTAAAGGAGGTTTAGCCCTAGACTGCCAGAAGTGATTAACATGTATCTTCTCACCATAATATCCATATATTATCCAACAAACAGGTAATGAGAATACTCAAACTTATCAGGTAGAAGTTATCTTGATCTATGCCAACCAAATTCTTGTAACTAATTTACAAGGGCATGTGTAGAAGCTAGAGGGGAGAATTAACAATTCAATCAGATCTTGGGAGTTAAAGGGTTAAAGAATAATTACCAATTTTAATCAATATTTTGTTGGCTTATTCCATACGAGAATCTTTGTTGAATCTTTGTCCTTTTTAAATGTTTTTATATAGAAAAGAAGTCGATTTAAAGGAAAAGTTATTTCAAGAACGTCTCTGACTTTGAAATATGCGAAGTTTGGAGCTTCTTGCGAGTGAAGCTAGCTCACGTGCAGTGAAACACTCGCCATCTCAAACTGCCAACTTTCTGGGTGGCAAACGAAGCCTGGAAAATTCAGGACCCAATATGTGGCTCCGTGGCTCGGCTGTATGTTAGTAGTGTCTAGTAGGAGGCACAGGCTCGAATCCCGTCGAAGCCTGAACTTTTTAGGCCTCTCTCCTACAATTTATAAATTGCAAAGTTGCACCTGCGAGAATCGCCTCTTTAATTTGCTCGAAATGTAGTGCGAAAAGTACCGGTCATATGTTGAGCTCTCAATCCTGGTGCAGACCTTCCAGCTCTGATATTCTGAACACAAACTGCAGAATTCAACAGGCATGCGAAGCTGACTGCATTCCGAAGGATTTGACCTCCCTATGTGGAAAAAGCGAAAACTTATTCAACTATTCGTGTTTTTTAATATCTCTTGGATGAAATACTTTACAATACCCCTTCCATAACGCTTCCATCGATTATCAAAGTGCCGTTTGGGTTACCTTCGTCAGAAGCCATTTTCACGATTCTGAAAGTGCAAAAAGGGTCAGGCGCTTACTCAACCGACAGGGAACTGGGAAACAAGGAAGCATTGTAACCTTGCCTAACTTAAAATAAATTTGTAAACAAGCAGTTTCATCTTCCTCAGAATGTGCTGTCACGAGACAATTTTTACATAACATCTTCCTTCTTCCGCAAAAGCTGAAAAGAAAAAAGGCTTCTTCAAAGATGTCTTGTACCAGCGAAACGGTAATTCTATCGACAGAGTCGAATCTAAGCTTGCTGTTTGCGAATTGTTCGATGTGTAGCGAATCAGCACTCGTTTCACATTTGGTGGGTCAGTTGATGAAGATATACAATGTCGCTCGCAGTGTGCCCATTTCTAGACTGGCTTTTGGAGGAACATCATCTTTAACCTCTAAGTTACTTAGCCTAGCAAATCAGTCGCTGCTGAAGGGTTGCGGATTACATCTTCAAGGCAGAATAACCACAGAAAGTCTTGACTCAAAACCCTGTTGCTTTGAAGTCACCGCTGAAAAAATTTTGTCCTTTGGAAGAACGCAATTACAGCAAATATTTGGCGAAAATAACTCAACTAGCTCAAGTGAATGTGAGGTTTTAAGGATTTGCGAGTCAGCCTTGAGTTTACCGCTAAGCAACTGTTTCTCTGACACAAGTACTGGATGCACTTCAATTGGTGTCTGTGAAAACGGAGACAGCATTTCTCGTGCATTGTGGCATGCTGCAGAGGAAAGATGGAAGGATGCAACAGATATGCTTTCCGATTATACACCGGATAAAATTCTTCATACTGTGGTAGAGGTACAGCAGTTTAAATCTGTTTTACATGGATGCAATTTTTTTTAAAAGGCAACCCCAAGACCTTCTCTTTGTGGCCTCTTTTGAGATGAAGAGGGCACGATTAAAGGCGTCAAGCTTTCCGCACAAGCCCCATACTTCATTATGCATACAGTTCTTGGGTAATGAAAACAATGGCAAAAACAATAGATTATCTTTGGGACTATGGCTTTGTTTTGGAATAGTTTGGGTTTTACAGAAATCTTTCAGTGCACATGGCATTTATGCAAATCAGAGAAGATTAAAAAGAAAAAAAAAAGCAATTGTAAACTAATATGTAAAGAAAAGGAAATCATCCATGGGTGAGAGGGGTATAAAGCAGGGCTAAAATCAACCCTTAAGAAACACCCTGTGGGTCCCCTGAAACAAAATGAAAGCCACAAAATCTCATTTTCCACTTGCAAACCTCAGAATTACCCAAAGGAAAGCCACCATGAAAGAAAAGAGTAGACTGAAATAAAAAAAATTGTTTTGTGTTAAATTGGGTTGTGTTAAATCACTCAGATTTAGCTCCTTACACTTAAATTCTCATGATTTCTGAGTGACCAAGACAGAACTTCTCCTTACAATATTAATACAATGCAAGCAGAAAAGTAACGAGAATAAAGAAAAGATCAATTAGAGGATTACTAGTCTATCAAATTCCAAATTCTCCAGACTAACATCATAAGAACTGTATGGCAGACAGTAAGGAGAATTGCTAAATAACGAGATCTTGAGAGTGAAAGGGTTAAAAAATAAGATTATCAGACCCAGAGAAAACATTAAGAAACAAAGTTATATACCAAAACCTTTACTTGGTATTATCATAGAACCAAATTGTAATGTTTTTGTCTTGCAGCTGGCACAAGACAGAGTGAATGAATTAATCACCAACAACTGTTTAGTTTCTCAACTTTCTGAAGCTGGAGATTTTCTGATGTCAACTACCCAATGTCTTAAAACTGAGGCTGAAGTGTTTTCACAGCTGTTGAATGAAACACAAGAGCATGCTCTTGCTGGCATGACAGAGTTATGGAATGTAATGAATGAATATGGCCATCTGGCTTGTGATGGAATGGAGCTGTTCTCACAGTACATTTGGAATACACTGCCTGAGTTTTATGAACCAGCTTTGCTGGATGTAAACTTGTTCAACATAGATGATGAAGATTTTTTCTTTGTGGCAGAGGAACCAATGCCGAGACGTAGAAGATCAATGTTGTATATTGGTTCACGATGATCAATATGGATGACATCTAATACTGAGTTGTGCAGTGGGATGACTATGGCACAGGAAGTTTGCCTCATAATCTGGTACCAGTAATCATAGTGTGCCAAAACTTGGATCACTGTATACTTGATTAGCCTTGTGGCAATTGAATTAAATCTCTAGCATTCCTTGTTGAAACATTTGTTTAAGGTCATTGCTTTTTTTCCATATTATGAAAATCTGAAATCTGGAGATGTATAATAATATATAGACCTATGTACATAGAAAAGTATATTGCCGAGATGGCTGATTATTGCACTCTACAACTTCTGTTCTAAAGAAGCATATGTTTATATTTGAATTTTGTACTGCAAACATCTTAGATGCACGATGTGTATACTTGTTTCTGATGTTTAGTAGGTTATGCTAGATGCCTACCTGTACTGCTGTAAGGTTTGGTGAATCTATAATATGTGTAATAGTATTGATAGTTGTAAGTAGTGTCAGATATGGTGTATTGAAAAGAATATTAGACACAGTTGACAATTCTAGATTCAAATTGGATTCAGAATTTGTAATTTGGGCAAGGGAAATTGAGCAGGTTTCACTTAAGGTCTGGATTTTAAAGGGCGTCTTTGCCTGAAAATCTTGTTGGGTATATCTTAGTTTTAATATGAGCAGTGGGATTGTATTAATGCATTTAATTTGAGCTTAACGCAGCAGTAGTGAGAGTGATCGTATATTGTAACTAGCCTAAACTAATGATTGTCTATTGTAAGGAAAGTTTGATGCAAGCACAGTAATGAAAAAGAGTAAATAATAATGGAAAGAGTGAAAGAGGGATGCACCCTTGTAATAAAAGTAACAAGCTGAAAGAATGTGTTAGTTAGTCTCAAGTCTGTAGTTGAGCTAAGTGACCCATGCAATGAAGCCCATCCCAGTTTACACAGCATGAAGCAAGTCCATTGCAAGGTTCCCCCCAGCACTTCATCACAGGTTTCCCTGGCATTGCAGTGGTACCCATCTTTACTCCTGGATCGAGAGAGGTACTGTGAGAATAAAGTGTTTTGCCCAAGAAACAACACAATAACCCAACCAGGTTTAGCCCACAGAACAGGCATGATTTTGGGGAGTGAATGCACAGTGTTTTCTTAGTGAAAATTATATCCACCATCTTTGATTTTAATGACAGTGGAAGGCTGGGGAGAGAAAAATTATTTGTACCAAATGGGTGAGTGACAGGAAAAAATTAGGAAAGGGGTGAGATGGTGAAGTGAATATTACTATTATGATTATTAGTTTTGCCTTTCCCCACCCTCGACTCAACCCAAACCTCTTGATCTGCATTAACCATTAGACCACCATGTCCTCTTCTACTCTCTGTTAACCCTTTATAACCTGACATCAGTATGTATATTCTCTATACTGTTCTTCATACATTCCTAAAGTGCTGACAAGGAGAATTTGTTTAACAGTTAAGAGCTTCTTCAGTTGTTCTATTATTCTCGTGTCCTTGATCCTATAGGGACAAATTGTGTGCCAGTCACTCTTAGGGGTTGAAGAGCTAAAAACAGCCAGATGTTCTTTCACGTGATTTGGTTGTGCAATTATGTAACACGATGCAAAGTGGGAAAGAACCATTGTTCGCTGTACCACGCAGATGATTTGATTTTCGCGCGGAGGATCAGGTGAATTTTATGGTAACACAACCAAAATCCTTCTTTTTATGAAACTTCTTTTTTCTGTATTTAACATTGATCATTAATTTGCGCTGAAATAATCGTTTATCATGCCTAAAAAACGAGACAATTTTGCTATAATTTCTTTAGTTAGACAATGGCTCATGTCAAATGCGCATGCCATATTAATTTCTATATCAAGAAATATAAGGTCGTAAAATATTTATAGCTGGAGGATACTTTAAAGACTCTTTTTGGTCTCAGGAAGGCATCTACGAGAACTTGAAAAATATTGTTGCGTGCACAAAAGATATAGTTACGGTCAGGCTGTAACAAGCGTTTGAGGTAACCGATATAAATAGCAACAGCTAGCTGGGAACCCTTCCGTCGATGCCTGAGTTTGTATTTTTGCAAGGTATCATAAAACCCAACGGTTGTAAAAGGTCTTTGTACGGCCACATCTAAGATTATTTACATTCGTTATTAGCATTATTTATGGCTGGTTCGTTTTTACAGTCTAACTGGTGATTTGGGGTCTCACTCTAACGCCATGTAAATAATAACAAAAAAAGGAACAAAATCAAACGTATGTATAGCCAAAAACCTTATATTTCAAACACCACTTATGAAAGCCAGAAATACTTGCCTTAAACGGTAAATGACGCACTTCCAAGATGCAAAACGAAACGAAGTAAAGTCAGTATTCAAATCGAAGTTTTTGCCACAACTTATAAGTTGTAAGCTACAATTGTAAGTACGGAAATTGACCAACAGGAAAACAAAAATAAAGAACAGCAAAACGCAACACTTAAAACGAACGAGAGTAGAGGCAATGGAAAATTGAACACGATATAAAACGACGAAAAGAGATCGGCAGAGACAGTTTAAATAATTAAGCGATAGATCTGAAGAAATAAAATCCACGGTGAAGGACGTTACCAGTGAGCGAAGGAAATATGCAGGAAAAGGTAACATAATATTGATAAAAGTACCAGTAATGCGCATAGAATGAGACAAAAGGAAAGGTACGAATTTATCATACGATGCTATACGCCAAACGAACTAATTTTTGGCGGCAACACTACTTGAGAAACCATGATACAAAATTTATATCCTGTAACTGACAGGTTTGGTTCAATCTGAGACAAAAATATACTACAATATGTAATCAACTGTTTGCCCGCATCGGAAAGTTATCACATAAATCTAGTTTTACCGTCCCATATTCAACTCTCAGTTTAGAATACACTGGCAAGACCATTTCATGCTAGGAGAAAAATTATCACTAGTCAGTGTTTCTATATGGTAATCTAATTAAAAATTCGGAGGATTCGGGTCACGATTTCTGATATGTAGCGTTCCTTTGCAGCGAATCCGTCTCCAGATCAGTTATCCACTGAATCCTCTCTAGACAGGGATTCATCGATCAGATCACTGATCTGAATGATCTGAAAACGGATCATAGAATCCATGGTCTGTTACGTTCCATTAAACTAAGGACCCGAAGTTAGTTACTCTGCACAATGGTGTTTGCTCAGAGCATCACAAAAACATCATGTATGAGCTCTATTTCTGGTACTAATCTTGATGTGTGTTCGATCTCGTTGTGGTAAAACATGAGATCGTAAATTAGCCCGTCGTTTTGATTAATATTAATCAGAAAATTTCTCTTCTCTCTTACACTTTAGTTGTCTTAAATGCTTTTTGTAGGGCATGGCTTTTTCCTTCAATTCCTTGCTGCTGATCAGAAGGAAAAATAGAATTTCGTCATCTTTGGAACTGCTCGCTTCTACTAGCGTGGAATCATCAAGAAATTCCTCTATTAATAAAAAAAAATTCCGTTCACACAGAGGCCATTGAATTTCGGTTTGCAAATTTTGCGTGTCCATTCCGCTGAAACATATGCAAAAAATTTACGCCTGCTGTCATTGCCACTGAGACTATGCGCCTTAACACCCTTCTCTTGGTAAACTGTTATCCCAGTGATCTCGGATCAATCATCCTGATCCATATCCACCCCAAAGGAACGCGCACGAGACTCAGAAGTATGCAAAGACTATTGATAGGACATGCACCATCACAAACATTTTGCGTCTGCATTGTACTGCGTTTTAGAATACCACTTAAACAAACACAACAAACACTCTTCTCCAACGGTTAGAGCATTCCATAACGTAATTCCAATGTTTCATTAAGTGTCGTGTAAGGAATCCCACAATTTGACCATAAAGTTGTTACTCTTTCCCATGCCCCTCCCTAACTTGACCGTTTTCACCATCTGGGATATAATCATAATGTAAATAACATTAATTCTGGAAATTAATTTTAGTGTTCCTCAATTCTAGCGTGTAATTTTCGCTTCCTCTCTGAAAAAGTAAGTTTTTTCGTTGTTAAACCTGTGATGAGTTTCGGTGTACCACTTGAACAACCAAAATATAAACCTTCTTTGATAGCACATAGTATCCACACAATCTGATACAACATCCACTCCAAATCTAATACTTATCACGCATTTATATAGTACATGTGATTAAAAAATACATATTTCTTCCCATTAAATATATAAAGGATATTACACGGTAACAAGAAGATATGAATTTTGTGTTCTCGTGGCGAGAACAATGTTATAATAACAAGTGGGCGCAGCGATCGAACGAGCGCGATATTGTTCTCACCACTCGAACACACAATTCATATCCTCTCGCCACCGTGTAGTAACCTCTATATTTATCACTGGATGGATAATTTAGCAGCTGTCAGCTTTATTGGATGCACTAACATCAGATATAATATCTGGTCTAAAAAGGATGAACCAATCAAAGCAATACTTTCTTATATTGCTAGTAAATACAGTACTTGCATGCTACGAGTTATTTTTGACATGTGACATTGACTGGAAGAATTATCACTATCACATGATATAAAATAAGTGGTTTATTAGACTCTTTTACAAAGTTCCAGTTTGGATTTGCAGATAGGAGACTCAGAGAGACTAAATAAGTGAACACTTTGGAAAGCTAAGATAGCAAGTACTTATGATAGCCAGAAATATTTCTTACATGTCCAAATAACCTTTCGACCAATAAGTTGTTTAAAGTTGTTTAAAGTAGTTCTTTGCTTTGCGTATTACTGGTTTCTTACCTATGTATTTTGGAACCTAATTGTACCTACCATTTAGTAAAGTATGGGGCCTCGCTGCGCGCGCTGCGAATTCCGCTATAAGTCTCTACCTTACGATAATGATAACCAGGTGGTTATATAGAGCTCAGGTTGTAGGGCGCCGAACTTCCGTGCAAGAGGTCAAGGGTTTCGAGCCCCAGATCAGACCAACACTCAGGGTCTTAAAATAACTAGGGAAATGTGCTGCCTTTGCCACGACCTCTGAAAATGATCAGACGTCAGTAGTCTACTCAGAAAAGGACGATAAACCGTGGGCCCCGTCTCCTGCATCTTTTCTGTACTGGTTAGCAGGGGACGATAAAGAATCCACCCAATTCTCACAAAGAGTGGGGAACGTAGCTCTCGTGTTGTGATCTGGCCCTCTTTCCACAAATTCCTAAATTAGGGGTACTTGTAAAATTGTTAGCTGCTCAAGGCAGTCTGGCCAAAGTTCCCGCAAAGTGTTTTGAAGCGCATTAGAGCAAATTAATTCGGTCAATGTGCTATATAAATGCATCATTATTATCATTATTACTTCTTCCAATGATACGAGCTCGTCCTGTATCTGTGTCCACTTAATTGTTTTGTTTTCCCTAAAGTTCTGACTAAAGCTGGATTTATTATTTTTCATGCTGCAAGTGACAATGACATCTGCCAGCAGAAAAGGCTTGCTATATGACGAGTTCCGGCGATGAAACTCTCACACCCACTGTTCTAAAGGAAGCTTTAGAGACGATGATTGAGACTAAATTACTACCAAAGCTCGAATCTCTTACCATTAGCTTTTCACCGGTTTTTGTTGTCGCGTGTTTTATTCCTGATTCTCATCACTTTGTTTCATTAAATAATCAGCAGACGCTTGGAACAGGTGAAGACTTGACACCTCTGGTTCAAATTTCCCATCCAGCGGGCATGGAAAAAGAGTAAAGAAGAAGAAGGCTTAAAAAAGACTTTAATTTAGGGCTGCTCACGCGTTGTCCTTTGCATCACGACGATCTAATGCAATTGGCGGATGTCGATCCCCATTGTTCCGGGG